ACCTTGGCTTCTTTATGTTCTAGACGCTGTGGTCTTGAAACTTTTGTGGGTTTCTCCTCTTTGGTTTGTTTGTTCTTCTTCTTTTTTTTTTTTTTTCCCTCACCTACTTCATTATTTCATCCAATGAGAGAGGAAAAAGTAAGAGGAAGACTATCCAAGAGGTTGTGGCTGATGTATTTAATGGTGATTCCTTACTCATTTTACTGAATCTGTTGTTTAAGAAAAGGATTTATGATGTTAAGATATTTAAGTGACTGTATCTCTGTTTTCTTGATACATATCCTACCTTAACACTTCCTGAATGTGTTTTCTCTAGTTATCCCCAGTTACAATTGTGCTTCCCACCAATTTCAACTTCACCCCTGACCTAGGCATTGCCTCAGGGTTTTACATGTCTGGACCTACATACTACAGTGCCTAAAGTCCTGCTTCCTTACCAAAGCTTTTAGCACCTCACATCTTACCTCTGCTCAGTGTCAGTGCTGAAAGATTCCTTCTGCTGCCTCTTTACATTTTCAAAAGAAGAACAGTTGTTGGAAATATTGCCAGACATTTTGTCCATTCAGGACACCTGGCAATCCATACCTGTTTGGAGGAATGCCACCCCAAAGCAAACTAGGACAAAGCTGGAGGAATTGTTTTACAGGGTAGTCCTAGCTGGTCAACCAATACAATGCAACCTCAGTTTGTTGCACACTGAGTGATAGTGAAACTGGACAAACTATTTGTATCATACTCCTGTACCCTGGTATTTAGATTCTAATACATGTTAATTTTCCTTTACTTGCTGTGGTACCTGTTATAAACAGAAGGCTCATGGCACTCTGCTTATCATAGAATCATAGTGTGGCTTGGATTGGAGGGGACCTTAAAGATCATTTAGATCTGTGGACAGGGACACTTTTCACTAGACTGGTTTGCCCAGAGATTCGTCCAGCCTGACCTGGAACACTTCCAGGAATGGGGGATCCACAACTTCTTCGGGCAACCTGTTCCAGTGCCTTACCATCCTCACAGCAAAGAATTTCTTCCTAATTTCCAATCTAAACCTACTCCCTTTCAGTTTTAAGCCATTGCACCTTGTCCTGTCACTTTGCCCTTGTAAAATGTCTCTCTCCCTTTTTTGTGTAGGTTGCCTTCAGGTACTGGAAGGCAGCATTTAGGTCATTGTGAAGCCTTCTCTTTTCCAGGCTGAACAAAACCAATTCTCTCAGCCTCTCCTCGCAGGAGAGGTGCTCCATCCCTTTAATCAACCTATTGGCCCCCTTCTGGACTCACTCAAACAGGTCTAAGTCTTTCCCGTGCTGAGCACCCCCGAGCTGGATGCAGTGTTCCTGCTGGGGTGTCCCAGAGCAGAGGGGCAGAATCCCCTCTCTCACCCCGCTGGCCACACTGCTTTGGATGCAGCCCAGGACACAACTGGCTTTCTGGGCTGTGAGTGCACATTGCTGGGTCGTGTCCAGCCTCTCACCCACCAGCACCCCCAGGTCCCTCTCTGCAGGGCTGCTCTCAATCCCTTTATCTCCTAGTCTGTGCTGATACCAGGGTTTGCCCTGACCCAGGTGCAGCGCCTTGTACTGGATCTTGTTGAGCCTCATGAAATTCCCATGGACCCACTTCCGAGTTTGTCCAGGTCCCCCTGGATGGCATCCCATCTTTCAGGGTGTAAGTTGAGTTGAGTGTCAACTCAACTGCACAGCTCAGCTTGGTGTCCTCTGCAAATTTGCTGAGGGTGCACTCAGTCTCTTCATATACGTCATTAATGAAGATATTAAATAACACTGGTCCAAATATGGATATACTGAAGTTTCTTTAGAACATTAGGATCCTCATAAGTCTCAAAAATATTTTTACCTTTTCTTTCATTTTTAGAAGAGCTGCTTTTAAAGAAGTGGCCACTTAATAATCATTGTATGTGCAGGTACAGGAAGTTACAATCTAATTTTAACTTTGGAACGTAAAGAAAAACTACTAAATTGTATTTTATTTCTTCGAGGCAGGTGATATTTTTGTGTCAAACACAATGTATATTTATCAACTGTCCTTTCCTACAGCAAATCCTGGAATTTTTTCTTTTTGGTGCAGGAGCATATAGGCTCCTTCACACTCCTTGCACTTACAATGGTGACGTTTTCCCATCACCCCAACATGCAAGGCAGAAGTCAGTGGCAAAAGGTTTTCTTCTGCTTAATTGTATGCCTACACATTACCCCGTGTCATGAAATTAAAAGCTAGACAATATTAACAATGTAACCTTGCTGCTGGAACCTTAAATGAAAGGAGAAAAATGCAAATACAAACCAAGAACTTTGTGATCAGTTTTTTTTTTCACTATGGCTCAGATAAATATCTATAACTGTGTATTGTACTATGCTCTACCACATAAAAGAATAGGGAAGGATGTTGCAAAGCCCAAGGCTTCTTTTTCTCGCAACAGTGGCCAAAATGCTTAAATCCAACTGCAGAAATTAATAATGCTTGTTGGTAAAAGTGGTGCAGACATTAAGAATGTTTTTCTGTAAAAGCGTTTACAGAAGTGCCAGCTGAGACATAAAGTGATCTGCTTTCTCCTCCTCCCCCAAGATTTTCTTCTTTCATCAAATGCAAACAAAACTACTGTTGAAGTGGATTACAAAATTGTTTCTCTATAATAAAATACATTTTTATTTTTAATTAAATTAAACATTAAGAACTTGAATGCGTAAATCCTTGCAAGGTGAGAAATTTTTATTTTATGACTGAACCTTACTACTGACACTCACAAACACCTTCAAGTGTCTCTTCAGCTATTTAACAGATTCCTTGAATGGTACCAGTACTCCTGTCCCATCTGAGCAACTCACTTAAGCATGCTTGTACATTTAAGTAAAAAAGAAGTAGTTTTAAACAGCTCATTGGAATGATTTTTCTGTGAGTATTACTCACATTTAAAGATAAGTCTTGTATTCCTTGTAATTATGATATAAACCTAGACGAGTTCCCCTTTTCAGCTGTGCTATTCTGGAGCTAAACACATGCAACTGAAAGCAGATTCTGGAACAATCTGGCACAACAAATCTTGAGGCTCTTATCCCAAAGTCTATAAAACTGAGAAAGGGATGACACTACCTAGAATCTTCAGTGAATTCAGATGCAAATCTCTTATAGTCACAGTATTCAAAACAGCAACAACAACAGACTCATTGTTTTGTGCTAAATACTGTATATTGAAAAAGGATTAAAAAGGAAAAAAAAAAACTCAAAAAACTTATGGTTCTGAACACAACATACATTTCAGAAGTGATTTCTCCCAATTCCAGTGCCTCTGACATAACAGATACCAAAGAAAGGATAGGAGACTAATGAAATGATTCTACTTTTTTTTTTTTTTTGGTCACTGGTATCTTTAAAGGTGCTTAAGACCAGTTTATAATTTCACCATCAGTCTTCCAATCTGTTATTTTGTGCTCAACATAAACTTCTCGCTACTTCTGAAAATAAATTTCAGTTTTTGTCTTCCTGTGACTGTGGATCTAATTCTTCTCTTTTATCATAATTGCAACACTGTGCAAAATGGAAAGCTGCACAGTTCACCTTTGCTTTGACAAAATGTTAATATTTTTTAACAGAAGTAAAACCAGAACTTGTCAACTCTATTTCTCTTGATATTTCACAGTTATCTCAAGTGAAACTTTTAATTATTTACTTTTATCTATTTCAGCCATTTTTAAGCATCACAGCTGATTTCAAACCTTTTAGTTCAAATATACATATATGTAACTATAATCTTTCTCCTGCACAGGATAACTGTCACAAAATAAACAGCATTCAAACTTCCTTATTTGCTGAACTGAGAGATGAAGAAAAAAAAAAGAAGTCACAGTTCCTCTAAGTGGACTGCCTTAATTTACCCTACACTTCTACTGTTTATGGCCTCCAAGCCTGCAAAATTACACATGCTGATAGCAGTTCTATACTGGATGCTTTTTCCCATGGATTATTCTGTGGATTCAACCCAAGGGCTCAGGAGATCTAAGATTCTGTGGACAAAAAAGAGCATGAAAGAAACCTAACAGAAAAGAACATAAAATATTTAGAAGATATTAATGCCCTTAAGAAGAATAATTTCGTTTTAAAACTGTTTTCAATAATTGCTTTATCATGTAACCTGATCAGACTGGAGTCCACTTGCCACTCTTCTACTGGATTGTTTCACTTAACAAAAATATTGTTTATCTTTGTCCGAAATAACATCACTCGAAACTCATCTGAACAACCTACAACATAAAGTTTTATGTAATACAGTGCTAACAAAGATAACTGAATAATGCTGGCAGAACACATAACACAAAGAGAAATTACTTCCAGAATCAACTACTTTTAGCACTTCTAGTAAAACATTAACTAGAGTTGTTTTCTGGGAAACAGAATAGGGAAGTTTCATAAGAAAAAAACCCGCATTTTTAAAGACATTTTGTCAGGCATCAAAGCTTTGACAGGTTATACACCATTTAGACACAAGCCCTATTTTTGTGTACACTTGTCTTTGTTTAAAACCTGCCGCCACAATAAAGTACCGAGACACAGCAAAACCAGTTTTTCTTTTTTTTTTCTTTTTTTTTTTTTTCCGCCTAAATTTTAGATTTAAATTTCTGGCGGCGTTTGTTTTCCCGAACCACTGGAAGCACAGGAAGGTTTCGGGCTGGTGGTGGTGCGTTTTCCAGCCGCCCGCTCCCTTCCCCAGCACGGATGCTCCCGCTCCCGCGTCCCAGAGCGCTTCCTTCTCCATCCATCCCTCCCGCCCGCTGCCGAGCGCTCCGGCTCCCGTTTGTGCCGGTTTCTCATCGCGCTTCCCGACACCCCGAACCCCGCGGGATGCGGCAGCAGCGCCGCCCGCTCCCACCGGCCCGGCCCGGCCCGGCCCGGTCCCCAGCCCGGCGCGGCCCCGGGGGCCGGAGCAGGGCAGGGCGGTGTCGCCGGGCCCGCCGGCTCTCCGTGCTGGCGGCCGGGCCGCTACTCACCGCTGCCCGGGGGTCGCTCGGCCCCGCTCCGCCGCCTCGTCCCTCGGCCGGCAGGGATGCAGCGCCGGGCAGGGCGGCTCTGCCGTGCCGAGCCTTGGAGGGAGCGCGGATGGACCCTCTCTCCGCGCCGCCGGATCCGCCGCTTCCTCGTTTTTTTGCAGCCGCGGCCACTTCCTCAGCGGGGTGTGGACGAGCGCTGCCTCCTCCTTCGCGCCCCCCCGGACCCCTCTTTCGGGCGGCGGCCCCGCCGAGAGGGATCCCGGGCACGGGCGGCTGCAGCCCCCGGACCCGTCGGCGTCGCTTCTCCGGGGGTGAGGAGCCGTCGGTCCCCTCCGGACCCCGCGGCACGGGCTCTTCGGGACCCCGTGACGTGAGTGCCCTCGGCGCCGTGTGACGGAGCTGTCCTTGGGACCCCGCCGTGCCGGCTCTCCCTGGTACCCTGCGGTTTGGGTTCTTGCCCCGCCGGCATCTGGCCTTGGAAGATGGACATGCTGTTGCTCAGCACCACGCTGGGAGTCGAGGATCGAAGTGTGTGAGATGCGGGCTTCTCAGAAGGGAGAAGCGAGTGGGTGCATGTTGGTGCACACACCGACTGGGAATTGGCGAATTCTGGAATACTGAAGTTCTGTGTCTTTCGGTACTTTGGTGAGAAAAAGATTTTCAGAGGGTTTCCTTCTGGAGCAACACAGGGGCCTACAGTATCTTCCCTCCTGTTATATTTCACACAAAAACCCATGCCATATTTCGATCAGCTCCAGGTGTGGAGACTCCAGTGCGCCCAGACAGAGTTGAAGGAAAGTCCCTCTTCAAGGCTTCCTCAGCACCCTGTGTACAGGGAATTAATTTCTGTGGCAGATGAGACCACGCAGCCTAAAGGGGCCATTATCCTTTGCCAGGGACTGCCCAAGGACAGATTGATCCTGATGTGTCTCATACAGGACTGATGAGTGGCATGATGGGCCTTGGCTGAGGCCTGAGTGGGCAGGTCTCCTTCAGCTGTGACTGTGATGCATGACATGGCACAGTGTCCTGTGATGGGCAGTGCTTGCAGGAGGAAAAGTCCACTTCCTTCTTCCCCATAATAAATTGGTGTAAGTGCTGATGTGGGATACAGGTGTTTATTTTCTGTGTGAAAAACTGGCTCTCTTTCCTTATTGCAAAGTGGACCATACACCCACTTTATGGCTAATAGAGCTCCCAAAGTACAAATCTCTCATATTTCATACCAGTTAGAAAGGTCTCTGGTTTTGGTCCATTTCAATGAGACTTTTGGTAACTGCTGTAGTGGCAGTGTAGTTCTCATTGGCACTGTCTCCACATTAGAAAAAAAAGATAATAACTTAGAAAACCTAATTCTCAGACCTGTTTTGATGGCACTGTTCTTCTCCTATCAACATCCAAATGTGAACAGAGCATAATCTGCAGGAAATAGCTTTTGGAAAGTCATTATTGAACTATGATCTGTTTTTTAAGGGGAAGTCTCAAATTGGTGGAAAAAAATCATCAATATTGCATAGCTTTAAGTTATACATAAGCAATTCTACTGGACCTGGCTGGGAAGGAATTAACTTTCATCACAGGAGCCAGTATGGTGCTATGTCTTTGCTTTGGCTAAAACAGTAACAAACAAATAATTTGTCTATTAGTTTGATAGCAAACTAACAATTTGTCTATTTCTGTACACCGCTTCACAACGTTGATGTTTTCTCCGTTTTTCAATCTGGCCCTGTCCCCAGAGGTGCACAAGAAGTTGGGAGGGACAGAGTTTGAACATTTGCCTGCAAATGACCAAAGGGATAGCCCCTATCATGCTTGACAGTCAAAACTGGGGAAAGATGAAGGATGGAAAAAAAATGTGGGCTTCTTCCAAGGTGGCCACAATGACTTTCTGGTCATCACTGTGCTTTTGGGAGGCGGTGAGTGACCAACTCTGCCTCATTTGGTTTGGTTGTGATTTTTGGTTGGGTTTTTGTTTGTTTGTTTGTTCGGTGGGTTTTTTTGTTTGTTTTTTTTTTCCCCCCTTCACCAATTAAATTCTTTTTCTTGACACATGGCTTTTCTTGCTTTTGATCTTCCTATTCTATACTCGGTCCTACAGGGCAGAGAGAACTGAGCTGTGTGGGTTCTTGACTGCTGACCTGGGTCAGCTTATAACAGCAGGAGAGGGGAATACCAGTAAGGGAAGTAAACAGCTTTTAGGCTGTCCACAGTTTACTTTTTCTTTCGTTTCGCATGAGATTTAATACCAATGTCTGAGTTCTGCTATACTGATTTTTGGTAAGGCTCTCACAACAATGAATTATGCTATTTAATGTGTTGCATGTAATGTTACATATTAGCATATCTTAAGATATATATTATCATTCCAAAGCTTTCCTGTGATTTGTGACCAACTCTATATAAGGCCTGTAATCGGTAAAGTAAAATAACTCCTTTTTTCTGGCAAAATTTAATCAGTGTAAATCCGGAATTTCAGGAAAGATTCAGTAAATTTGTGGAATCTCCTACCAAGTATAAATATGTACAATAGAAACTAATATTTTTTACATAATTTCCCACTAGGTATACAATGCGGTACTTAACTTTGAAATACTTCATACTTCTTCGGAGCATGTGAGGGATTTTCAGTGCTTCCATTATTGCAATACAGTTTGAAAGACTTCTGTTTTCAGGAGGCATGATAGTTTGCTTAAATGATTTAAAAGAATATGCCTGAATCTAATTTCCTTCCTAGGATTCTAGGATTAGTATAATTTATAAAAGCTAATTACGTATTTGAGCCGCTCCAAAATTCATGACTTTGGAATTTTGAAGTTCTATTCTGTTGCCTTCCTAGTACCTGTTTTCATCATTACAGGGAACAGAAAATACCAGTAGGTATGTTGAAATAAACCTTCCTCCGACTAAGCTGCCATACTGAGAGGTTAATTTTTCTCCAGAGGGAATTTTTAGGTTGGTTTTTGTCTTACAGATGTGCTGCAATTTGCAGATGTACTTTTGCAGACATTGTTTGCACTGGCAGAATTCTGCTCCAGCGCAGGGGGTACTGCTGTGACTTCTCTTTAGGTAATTACAGGTTGAAGCTGACAATTTTCTAAAATGCCATGTCCATTTCCATAATAGGGAATGCTGAAGCTAAATTGATGCTCTGTTGTCTGGTTGAATGTCAAATTCTCTAAAACACATAGCAACAAGAGAGACAATGCCACTGACAGACTGAGGTCCAAATTCTTAACATGTGACCATACCTACAGCTAAAAGCAAAGGGTCTCTATGATAGAAGAAATCAGTGTCAATAAGATGGGACTGTACAGACTGTCTCTACAAAATGAATGCAGAAGTGATTCCTTTTGCTTAAGACATATAAAATCTGTGCACAGTTCATTGAATTCACTCATGGTTTGAAAAAAAATATATTCTATTTGGGAGCTATTTAATATCTTCATCATTTTAATTAAATAATTAATTAAACTCTGATGAAAGCAGAGTTTCCATTTTAGCAAAACAACAGTAAGCAACATTTAGAGAAAATCAAAAGTCAATAGCCTGAAAGCAGTGTTGGGACACAAAAGCAAATATCATAGAATCATAGAATCATAGAATCATAGATTGGTTTGGATTGGATGGGATCTTTATTGGTTCATAGTAATTGTAATTATAACTCTTTTATTTCATGTCTATATAAATATAACTATTTTCATACGATATTTTGGTATGCTGTAGCCACATTTATCACCTTTCCCCTCTGTTTTTGCCTTAAACCAAGAAAAGCATCACACTTATTATACAGGCCTGTTATACAAGTGCTGAAAGTTTTGCTCACTAGTGATTAAGAGGAGTTTTAGGATGTACTTTCTACACATAAAAGATCGGGATACGAGTGGGTGTGATGTCCACATTTAAAATGTTATGGGGGTCAGTGCAGATTAGAATTGTGGGCTAGTTGAGAAAATATGTGTTCTGAATTTACATGGCTTTAAAAAATACATGGTTATGTTGAAATGAAGATGTAGGTTTGGGCCAGTCCAGTCTTTATGACTTCCTGTACCATATGCCCATGCCTAGTTACTGGTCCTAGTTTTTGTTTTTATAGCAATGTTTTGTCTTTTTAAGCGGATATTAAAGAATGGTGCATTGTTTAAGAACAGTGGCTGACAGAAGGATAAGCATATACAATAGCAAGTTATGATGCGACAAAAAACAGGGCTTTTTTAAAAGTAAATTTTTCTTTAAAATAATTACTTAATCGTAGCACAGAAAATAATCAGGCACTGGGCAACGAGGAGCTGATAAATAGCTTTTTAGGAAGGCTTGAGCAAAACCTTTAAGAAGAATTGATTGGTATTGGCAATCTCTGCTTTGGATGAAAAACAGCATAAAGGTGGGGAAAAGGAAATAAAAAGAGGGAGCATACATAATAATCTTTTAACTGTCAGAAGATTTACTAACTATGGGAGAAGATTCTCTTTCAACACCATTTCCAGAAGTATTTCAGTTTGTAAGATCTGTAGCCTTTTGAGAACCATCTCGGACTGTCACAATCAGCAAAAAAAGAACAGTATTGGAAGCTGTTATGTCAGAGCTGTCTATTGTGTTGACATGAAGTTATACCATGAACACAAGCCTTTTTTTTATCATTGGTTGTGTACTGACATGCTGGAGCATGGAGAGCACATTTTCTTCATCCTGTCCCATTTGTGATTCTCCCTGGTTGAAGGATCAGTTAATGGATGGGGTAATTCACCTTTCCACCTATTGTATACTACAATGATTAGTGTCTGTACGTAGGCATTCCTTTTAAGAAATATGAAAGCATAGCACTACTGGATGGAAAGATACTGTTAAGGGGAACTGCATTGGGTGAGACATGGGATACCATTAGCTGTCAGACCTCCTGGTCATATGCACTGGCATTCAAGCATCTATAATTTCATTCTAAGGCTATTATATATTCATATGGGTAATAAAAGCAGCTACATTTATGTTGAATCAAGGACATAAGTAAATAGAGACAGATGGATGAAAACTTCAGGTCCTT